GGTCTTACTCATCTACAGGCAATTCACTAACTCTGTGTCATTAGGTTAGATTTCTTCACTTTAAGGTAAAGTTAAGTTGCCCTTTATTAATCCCACAACAGGGAAATTCACCTCCGCATTTAACCCATCTGTGCAATGAAACACCCACATACACACTAGTGAAAGCACACTAGAGGGCAGTGAGCACAAATGCCCAGAACAGTGGGCAGCCAGTGGGCTGTAGAACATCACAAGACAATTAATGTTGCATTTAAAGACTATTAGATACTAGGATTTTGATATACAAGTTACGTAGTAAGTAACAATACCACCATAATGCCAAAACTTCATAGCTTAGGTAGTACTTTTAGTAATATAACCCAAGCAGGCAATGTTTTAGGAAAATAAATGCACCAACTGTGTTCATTTTAACATGATTAATCAATACTAGCTCTGGCCAGCAGAAGGTGCAATGCGCTTTCTGCTCCCCTCCAGACACTGAACAACATTTCCTTTGCAAATACTAGTCTGGGTCTTTCTTCGCATAATCATGTCTTGGTGGAGAGCACAAGTGTAATTAAAATGACTTATCACTATCATTTAATTAGAGAGACTTGCAAGTGCGGTGGCTCCAATCACACATACTCCAAAGTTCCCTGGTATCTCAGTAATGCTCAGCATTGCATGCAACACTGTGTACACTGGATAGTAAGGTAGAGGAGAGACAGATAAATTCTTTCTGCTTAAGTCAGCTAGACGTTTAGAGGTCACTTTCTGCTGTTATCTGCCTTTGCTAATGCCACTACGCTAAGTGACTCTCCATGCCTGGTCCAGTGGTTTCAACGTTCAAATGAGAATTCCATTATCTCCTGTTTAAACTGTCATGATCTGAGTGGTTTAATTGAAATAACCTCATATGATGCCACACATGGGCCCCATTTCTTCCGTATTCCAGTCAATTGTGCTCTCAATTAACTACATACAGTTTAATTAACCACATAACATTTGGTACAATTTTAATTTACTGTTTTTATCAAGCTGGCATCTCTTGAATCATTTATTTATGTACTTTGCTATGACTTACAATGCTGAGAAGCAAGCTTGTGGGCCCAGTCTGGCTGAAAATGTCAAATGTTTTGACACTGGGTGAAACCAGGCATTCAAACTCATTATTTTGTCAGCCAGGTTAGATTCTGAGTACAGGTTAGTTTTAAAATTACAAGGGCAGATGATTTTCTTCCATTGTGCTTATATTAGAGGAGGTTATTCCCAAATGCAAAAGCTTTTCCATTCTATTTGCATTTTTTAACTGCAGACTGGCCTGTCCAAACCAATGCATTTGCAGTGCAAGAACGCAGGTTCAGCCAAAAAAAAAAAAAAAAGCACATTTGCCAAATCCCAGATCGTCAGTTCCACCTGGTTCAACTCATTTTCAAGCTCTTCGAAGTTCAAGTAGCTTTAGAGCACAGAAAACATTACAATAGTTACAGTACAGGGCTGCTATTTTGAGCACAAGGTATGCTACAGAAAGACTATAAGCACTGAGTTTACATTTGAATTTTAACTCTCCACACCCAAGGCTGTATTAGCCCAATATGCTGTAGATACTCATCTCATTAGCCACCTGGGGGCAATGTGAGTGTAACTGCGCAACATGAGGCTGAGATTTGTCTGTTTAGTTTACTCATAGTTGTGGAGGGAGTGCTGCTTCGATGTCACATTTATAACTTACATTCAATCGACAACATTAACCTTATGCAACTTTATTTAGCTCTGCTCACACTCTTCGAAAGGGAGACCTTCTACTCTTAGCCTCTGACATTCCACCTACAGAAGTACACACTTTCATGCTTTGAATTTGGTCAGACAAACAGTAAACAAACTTACATGCTAGCTACTTACTTAACTGCTCTGTACATCATGACAACAATGAACCTTTCTGACAACAATAAGCTAGTATTGTGGTCAAGACCAGTAGAGTCCAAGTCAAGACTTTGTATTAGTCAAGTCAAATGGATTCTCAACCGGCAACAAACAGGTTTTATTGAACCCTCTGGGGTCCACAAACTCACCCGCACATCAAATTCAATGTTTCTACATATGTTTCTCTATCTTTGGAACAATACAACACAGAAATAAGGTTCAAACATTTGCTGAATCTGTAGAGTTTGCCATTTCAATTCCATTTATCATGAGATTGTACATAACTATGAAGCCGTGAAGAGGGTTTAAGATTCATATCATCTGCCCATCTCACTAGCCACCTGGGGGCAACATGAGTGGAACTGCAGACTAAATGGTAGAAAGAGCAACTGGAAGATGTTTATGATGATGGAGATATGTCTGTTTACTCATAGTTGCGGAGGGAGAGCTGCTTCGAGTGGATTCATGTGTCCGTCCACATTTTGTGTGAAATCGACCAATGGACAGTCGCTGAAGATAATGGCACATTTTGATATGAAACACATGGTATCGTGTTACATGCAAGTGTCGTGGTGACTTTAAGAAGAATTTTAAATCAAGAAAATGCCCTTAGAAACTCGAGGGTTAAACGTATAGAAAGGACTGTTTTCTTCTGTTTGAAGGTGTTGTTGATATTCAACAATGATAGAAATAAGTTTGGTTCAGGCTGGCCACAAACAATTTCCAAGTCCTCCTTACCCCAAGACCAGGACAAGACCAAGACCATTAATTTATTTGAGAACAACATTACAAGCCTTTTTTTCGAGAAAGATCTGATAGTTTTATTCAAGGGTTTTGTTTGAAGCAGTTGGTAGACAGTAAATGAGACATCTTTACATGTTTGTTGATGGACATACCACTTTGTTTTTTGCGGGTCTGCTTTTGCTGTTGTACTGCTTTGACAATCGCCAGCCTGTGGTGGAATGCTTTACATTTTCCTCTCAAAGTAGGCAGTTCTTGGCCATGTTCAGTGCCAAAACTTAATTGACGATGCTTGCTGTAGGTCCCTTCTCTGAAAACAAAAACCCAACAGAAAGACTTGTATTGGGACTGTGTTCACTATCAGGGCTACAGACATTAGATTCATGCCTATGGTAGTAAAGGACATACAGAAACCATGTAGGTAAGAAAGGGAGAGAGAAATGAACGTGCAAGTTTTGCATATCAAGTTTGTGACACAGGGTCTTAAGGAAGAAGACAGCTGGGCCTGACTCAGCGAGGACTCAGCGCACTCATCTTTTGTTCTCTCTCTTTTGACATACATCAGGCTGTCTGCATGCTGCAAAAGGAAAATGAATGTGCCTTTGAAGCCCACTGGAGAACTTTGTTCTCCATGAGCTTGTGCGCGTTTGTTGTTTGCTTTACTTTTCCGCTTGTTTTCCAGCTCTGAACTTTTACCCCTGCTCGTTTCCCCCTGTTTCAAACCTACAGTGTGTGAGAAGGTTACTGAGAAAGTGTTAGGAATTGTTTACTCTTCTCAAGTGCTGCAAAGCTTCAGCAATATTAGAAGGGTTCATCTTAAAATTCAGATTTTGATTGTATGCTGTTGGTATACTGAGAAAAAAAAGTTTTAAGCTACTACATTTAAACAGTGGGGTCAATAGGAGACTGTTTGAGGTGTGTCAGATGGTCCATTTTGACAAGCATTGGTAAAAAGAATATTCTCAGCCTAAGTGAACGTGTGTCCACTCAAAATACCTTCTTTGGTCTTAGTACACTATTGAAAAATAGGTGCTACAGAGGGTTCTTTGAATAATGCCATAGAGGAACTACTTTTGGCTCCATGTTTAAAAAGGGATTTGTGAGAAGTAAGAACCTTTTAATAGTTTAACAAACCTTCACATCACGTAAAGGTTCTATACCACAGGGATTGAGCAAAAAATGTGGACCATCTAGGGGGTCCCTGAGGACAAGATGCTCTAAATAAAAATTCCAATGGATGTTCTTTAGGGAACCCAAAGTGTTTCTTCTATGGCATCATGTAAAGATCCCTTCTGGAACATTCATCTTTAAGACTACACAAAAATGAAGGTGCCAAAAGGCATACCTATAATGCTGGGTGAATGAACCAGAAACTCACGGATGTAATATAAACCATAAGGTATGTTAAAACGAGGATGATCCAAAAGAGCAGAGTTATACCAGACCAGGTCAAAAACCAAAAGAGCAAAACATGGTACATAGGATCAGACAAAAAGAGATGCAAGGAAACAAGTGAGGGTCTAAACCAAGAAGAAAGTAACCTTAGCCAAGGGAGTAAATCAACAGCAAAACAAACCAGTAACCTTAGCCAAGGGAGTAAATCAACAACAAAACAACAATGAGACAAAACAGGGTCATAACAGGAGAACGAATGAACGAACAAACGAATGAATAAACGAATGAATGAAACAAACAGACAAATTTCATGATGAATGGACCAAAAGAAAAGGCACAAAATGAAAAAAAGTCTAGTTCTATTGACTTACCTTAAAAGTAAAGTAGGTTTTTTCCTTCTCCTGTAAAGTTACCATTTTGGGGATACAAGGTTTTCTTCCAACAACAGCGATTTACAAGAGGTAACAGGGGAAAGGAATTAGAATTATAGTGACTGAGATCTGATGACTGGTGGATGATTGGCTGGCTTTGTCACATGAATGACTAATGCATCTTGGGAGTTGGAGTTCATAAGAGAATTAGAGTTTGAGAGCCGGGAAGCGTGATAACATCCATATTTCAAACCATGTTTTGTTCTCTACAGAGCCTGTCAATGGGTAGTTTTTGTTTGTAAGTGAGATTTTGAAGAAGCAGAGGTCACCAACCCTGATCCTGGATGTCTACCTTTCTGCAGAATTGAGTTCCAATGACAATTTGCCACACCTCCTTATAATTTATTCAAATCAAATGCATGATATACCCCTCATGGTTCTTCCTCAAGTCTTCTTTAGCAATGATGACGGTTATATTAAAGCACTTGCTTAATATTGAAAGTTAAGTGTTCTTGCTCTTAGAAGAAATGAAACCCCTAAATCCCTGCTAACATTTCAATAAAAGTTGTATTCTGTTTGTTTCTTTTGCAGGTCTTTCAAGGAAACTTTGATAATGACACACACAGGAAAAATGTGATAGATCCTCCCATCTATGCTCGGTTCATCCGGATCCTTCCATGGTCGTGGTACGGAAGGATCACTTTGCGTGCAGAAATACTCGGATGCACGGAGGAAGAGTAGATGCCCCCCCACCACGCAGCTTTTTCCTGGTACACCTCAGTACCGAATCCAGATTCAATATAAACTTTGCTCAATCTGTAAAAAGAATATCAGTTTCCGATGGAATTTTTCAAAAATTTTGAATTTTTGGTTTCCTTTCTTTTTTTCCAGGTTGGAGTTTGATGCTTTGTAGGGTAAATTCCTGAATATATATACATATATATATATATATATATCTCATGTATGTCCTCTTCATTTCGTCATTTAGTTCACATCCAAATTTTTGCCCTAAGTTTAGAATGGATTTGTGTCACTTTTTTGGTGGGTTTATGGGATGGGGGATGGGGGTTGGGGGTTATTTCACTGTGTTTAAGCAGTGGGATGTCAACCACTGTATGGTGTCACTTTTAAACCAAGAAAAATGATATGAAAATGCTATGCTTCATGGACCATAATCAAACAACTGTAGCTCATAACCGAATCAAAAGTTAAGCACCACTAGTGTAAATTTCAGTTTGTCCTTTTATTTTAAACATGTTATTGAGAGTAAAATCATATGACACTGATGTTGTGTAGAGGAAAATATGATGCTCTTGTATTATATGTAAAACACTAAAATTACTGCATGGCGCATAAATTATATTAGATGTATAAGACAGTTAATTCCCTAAACATTGTATTTTTTGCTCCTAATTAAACATTTCTTATCACTTGAATTGAACAGTTCGAAACTATTGTTAAGTTAATTTCTAAAAAAATCGATATAGCTTCACTGTCAGAGCAAATCTTTGTGTCTCCAAAATGGTAACATCACAAGAGAAGCAAAAACAGTATTAGCTTTAAATGGAAATCAATGTAAGTCATTTTGCAACATTTCTATTGGTCCAATCATCAAGAAATTCATGCAGTGTAAGAACAGCTGGCTTTTCCAATTATGTATAAAAATTTTTTTTAAAAAAAGACACATTGGAGATACACAGTTTTGTCCTCATAGCGACGATATACAAGTAGCGCATAGGCAAGTTACTTGGTAGAGGTAAAATAATACTAAGAACAATGATATCAGTATTGGAAGTGTGGCATAAGGAGTGCATCTAACTCAGCTGTTGCCAAATTTTTTGCAGGTATGGTACTGATTGGATGTTTCAATAGTAAAAGTGCACTTCAAAGGCAAAGCTACATTCGTAGATTTGTCATGCAATCTAGGTTTGTACCTAAAAGGCTATAGAATGTTTTAATCTGGGAAATAATGTCCATGGGAATTACACATTTAGAATCCAGGGCTAACATTTATCTCTGTTTTTTTTATTATTATTTTTTAAGTTATTGCTGTTAATGTGCAAATTTGCTATAGACTTCTAATTGAATGTCAATGTCTTTTGCATTTTCTATTTTTCTGTTTTTCTGTGTTCTTTGTTGACTGAAGGTTTGCTTACTGCTACATAGCTCAGCTGAACTACTGTATTGTTTTGTTTTCATAAATGTAAAGACCTCAGGTTAGAAGTCACAAGTAACCCTCTTTTGTATTGCTAATGATTCTCATTTCTGCAATGATCCCTCCACTAAAGAAAAAAAAATATATTCATAATGTATTTGTAGGTTATAAGACAATTGCATCCAAAATACATTTTATAGACCACACTCCTTCTTTTTTCGGTGCAAACACTTAAGACGGCTTGTCATCATAGCATTTTAACCATGCAAACCATCAATCCAATGTACAAAGAAGGATTACAAACAAAATTTATACAGCTCTTACTTATTCTTTGAAATGTACAGTGAAATCCATTGGATTGTTAAATCACTGGAGATGTCCATTGCTTTTTGTTAGTCTCATGAAAATTAATAAATTAATGAGGCAACTGGAAAGGGTTAAACCATTGTCTGTCATCCCATGAAGACCAGTGGGTATCTCATTTAAAGAACAAATGGGCCAGTGAGCTGTTGTATTGTAATAATATCTTTGGGAATCATCATCTGAATGTGATGTGTACAAAAAACTAAAAAAAATAAAAAATAATAAAATTAACATTAGCAATGTTGATCCACAGTATGGTGACATGGAGCATAAACATCATGTACAGTTAACACACGTTTTCTAACAGATAAGTGTTGCAAGGCATCATATGTTTGTGTTTGATTTCTTCCGAGTTCTCAACATATATATGGAGGTGAAATGGTATTCCTTGTCTAACGTTTCCCTGTGTCTGTAAGGTTCTCTTCTAACTGTTCAGATGACTTGTGTGCACATTGTAACAGTTTTGTACAGACTTTTTGGGGAATAACGATCTATGAAGAAAACGAAAACCCTGAAAATGTCCACAGGCACATTTTTTAAATGATATGTATATTGGTGAGTCCGATAGTCCGGTATTTCCATTTTATGTGCTGTGAATAGTGACTTTTGGAAAAAAATAAAAAAACATATATAGAGCTAAAAATCAGGGGAACCCTATGGGGCACACGACATTTTTAGTTCCGCTTTTTCCTTGTTTTTTTGTTTTATTTTGTTTTTTTGACAGCTTTTCCAAAATAAAAGTCATCCCTCATTATTTCCATTCAATCTCAAGCAAGTGCTATCTGGCAAAAATGTACCATTAATATGCCGACTATACAAAGCCTGAAGAGTGTACAGAAAAGAAAAGCCATCGCCACCAGTAGACCGCTCTTTGGTTTGACGAATAAAATGAAGTCTGTGAAATACAATGTATTGTTGTTGGTTTTTACCCAATGCTTAAATATGAGTAGCACCAAGTGTGCTTTCATCAGGCCCAGCCCCACTTGCTCCTCACAGTTAAGTCTGTCCTGCTCTTCCTCGCTTCTGTTCATTTCTTTGATGTTCTACTTAAATAAATCTGCCACAAATGGTTCTTTAGATTAGTGCCATAGAACCTCTTTTAGTTCCCCCAAAAATGTAAAAAACCTTCATCTAATGTAAAGATCCTATATCAGTTAGACATGTTTCATGCTAGAAAATTCAGGACTAGAACCACTTCATAAATGGTTCTTGGCTTGGATGTTTGGTTCTAGGAACAACCTGTATTTTAAAAGGAAGATTATGTTACATTATGTGGAACAAACTGCTTTTTAAGGAAAGTTTTTCTATGTCATCTCTGCAACGTTTTTAAAGAATGTCCAAAACCATTTTTGCAAATGGTTGTTCTAGAATTTTGTGTGGAAGCCAAGAGCAATGCAAGAACCATTTTTAGGTTCTAGGAAAAACATTGCATTATGTTGAACTTTTTAGGGGTTCTTCTGACCTGCACACCTCATTTACAAACATTATTCAGTAAAGAGCCATCCATTGAAAGGTTTCTAAAGGAACTAAAAGTGGTTCTCTGCTTGAATTGCTCAAAATAACTTTTTTGGAACCTTTATTTTTTTTTAATGTTTGATGAGCCATTTTTGTAAACGAGATACGAGAGTGTGAAGAAACTTTTTAAAGTTTAAAGAACCTCCACAAAGTGTAAAGATTCTTCACCAGTTAAACATTTTCCTAGACCCTTCTGTGTAAGCCAAGAACCAATTAGGAACCTTCTTTAGGTTCTAGGAAAAACCTTCCATTATGTAGAGCTTTATAAAGGTTCTTCACACTTGCATGCCTCCTTTACAAAATTGTTTTTTTTTAAAGAACCATCCATTAAAAGGTTCTTTATGGAACCAAAAGTGCTTTGCTATTGCTATTGCTGCAAAGTACTGCTTTTGGAACCCTTATTTTTTAGAAGTGTTTAAAGAACCACTTGTGTAAATGCCGTGACAATGTGAAGAACTTTTTTAAAATGTAAGATTTTATACCAGTTGAACATTTTTCTAGAACCTAAAGTTCAAGCCAAGAACAATATAGGAGCCATTGTTTTAGGTTCTAGGAAAAACCTTGCATTACGTCAAGCTTTATAAAGCTTCTTCACTCTTGAACACTTCATTTACAAACTTGATTCTTTAAAGAATTTTCTAGGTTCTATAGGTTACCAAAAGTGGTTCTTTTGCTGTACTGCTGTAAAGAACTTCTTTTGGAACCCTTTTCTTTTAGAAGTGTTTAAAGAACCACTGTAAGTGCTGTGACAACGTGAAGAACCTTTTTAAAGTGTAAGGTTTTACACCAGTTAAACATGTTTCTAGAACCTTATGTGCAAGCCAGTAATGAAGTAGGAACCAATTTTTGGGTTCTAGGAAAAACCTTGCATTACATAGAGCTTTACAAAGCTTCTTCACACTTGCACACCTCATTTGTAAACTTGATTTTTTAAAGAATTATCCTTTGAAAGGTTCTATAGGGAACCAAAAGTGTTTTTTATCTGTTGCATTGATGCAAAGAACTACTATTGGAACTTTTATTTTTTAGAGGTGCTTAAAGAACCTCTTGTGTAAGTGATGCAAAAATGTGAAGAACCATTTTAAAGGTTTTAAGATTTAAGATTTTACATCAACTAAACATTCTGTGCAAGCAATAGACCATTTAGGAACCTTTCTTAGGTTCTAGGAAAAACTTGCCTTTGTGTAGAGCTTTATAAATGTTCTTCACACCTGATTTACAAAATAGTTATTTAACAAACTATGAATTGAAAGGCTCTTTAAGGGAACCCAAAGCGTTTTTTTCTGTTGCATTGATGCAAGACATGTTTGAAGAACCACTTTTGTAAAGGACTGTGAACAACCTTTTAAAGTGTAAGATGTTACACTAGTTGAACATTTTTCTAGAACCTTATGTGCAAGCCAGGAATGATGTAGGACCCATTTTTGGGTTCTAGGAAAAACCTTGTATTATATATAGTTGCACAAAGCTATTTCACACTTGCACACTTCATTTGCAAACTTGATTCTTTAGAGAATTATCCTTTGAAAGGTTCTATAGGGAACACAAAAGTGGTTTTCTGTTCCATTGATGCAAAGAACTACTTTTAGAACCTTTATTTTTTAGAAGTGCTTAAAGAACCCCTTGTGTAAATGATGTGAAAATGTCAAGAACCCTTTTAAAGTGTAAGGTTTAACACCAATTAAACATTTTGTGCAAACCAAAGACCATTTAGGAACCTTTCTTAGGTTCTAGGGAAAACTTGCCTTTGTGTAGAGCTTTATTAAGGTTCTTCACATTTGCACACCTGATTTACAAAATAGTTATTTAACAAACTGTCAATTGAAAGTTTCCTTAGGGAACTTGAAGTGATTTTTTCTGTTGCATTGATGCAAGAAAGGTTTGAAGAACCATTTTTG